CCCGCGGCTTCGGCCGGTGCCTTAGGGCAGGTTTCACAGTCCTCCACCCGCCGCAGCCACAGGGCTGCGGGGCAGGGACGGAGCCCTGCATCCCCGCCAGCTCCGGACCCCCCGAGTCCCGGCCAGCAAGTCACCATCGGACGGAAGCAAGCGGGCGAGGGGAGGAACCGACCTGTCGATGAGGATCTTGTGGTCCCCCATCCAGGGGATGAGATGCTGCCCCTGTTCCTGGGCCAGGGCCCGCTCGTCGTCCCGGAACAGCTTGCAGGCATAGCCGAAAACCAGGAGCTCCACTCTGCTGGCCCCGCCGCCGGCAGCGCCGGGCCCGGCCTCCTCCTTCGCGCCGCTTTTCCGCTCAGCTTTGGCGCGGCCTCCGCCCGCGCCGTACATGGCAGCGTCTCCGGCTTCCAGGCTGGTCCTCTTCTGCGCCGCGCCGCAGTGCCCGATGCTTCAGCCTGGCCTACCCCCTCAGTCAAACGCTCCGCATCCCGGCCCCAACCTTAGCACCTCCGCCATAGCGGGCAACAAAATGGAGGCAACGCCATTTCCGGCGACAGGGAGCCGGCACATCCGGCAGCAGATTCGACAGATTCACGACCCGTCGGGGGCCGTTGGGACCTCTAGAAAATATTTTAGCTTCAGTTGTTGGCATCTCGGAGCGTCTTCAGGTGGGGAACATTGTGTGAATATGGAAGTGCATTTTTAGTCTTCGTTTTCTTAGGCGGCTGTCACGAGCAGATACGAAAGTGCGGAACGGAACCTCGCGCCCACTTCCTCGTGGCCAGGCGGCGGCGTTTTGCATCCGAGCGGAAGAGACCCGGACTGAGCAGTCGTCGTCGGCCTCACCCTTCGTGGGGGACGCCACCAGCCCGTCTGCGAGCCTCACCGCCCGCGATGTTACCGGGGGTGGGGTCGGGAGCCGGCCAGGCCCTGCGCCGGGCGACCCACTTCCCTTTCTGAGACTCTGCTTTGGTCCGGACCCGAAGGGGGTCGTGAACCGTGCCACGCCTTCCTCAGAAGGTTTCCACGGCAGCTGTCAAAGAACCCTGTAAGCCGTTAGCGCCTCTCGGGTGGCCTGGAAGTTAGGAGTCTGTGACCCGAGGGGGAGCCTCAGGCGGGAAACTGGGCACCGCTTTCAGCGCGCTTTGCCTTGTCCCTATTGGGCCGCATTTTCCCCACCTGTGTTCCTTTGGACCTTCCAGCAGGATCTGTAACTTCAGGCCCGAGAGGAAAGGCGTCTGGAACGCCAGAGCGCTGACCTGAAACACGGAGAGGAAACTCCTCTCTGGGCTCCGGAGTCCGCCTCCACAAGACAGCGACCCAAATTCCGGCTGTTAGAATGCAAATGGGGTGATAAACGTGAAGGGTAAGAGACTGGAATTGATAAGTGCTATCGATTCCCATTCATACAACGCAGCAGAACGGAGTGGAGCTGCCCCAGAGGGTTTCCGGTGCTGTCATCTTTACAGAAGCAGGCTGCCCCATCTTTCTCCTGTGGAGCAGCTGGTGGGTTCAAACCGCAGCTTTTCAGGTAGCAGGAACACTTAACCACTGGGCCAGCAGGGCTACAGATAGTTCCCACCCAGGGCCTCTGCTGTACTCATTTCCTCGGGCTTTTCCTTCAGCAGACTCCTCACCCAGGTCTTACCACCTTTTCAGGGAGACCTTAGAGGTCCACACCTTCTGGAGCTTTCCTTCCCTGGGCTCACCCACAGACCTGCTGCTTTGTCTTTATAGCACTTACCACCATTCACCAGCCATTCCTTGGAAGAGGGTTGAGCACTCTAGTTCTGTAGTGATACTGCCTCAGAAACCCAAGGAGGGTTTGCTATGAGTTGGTCCTACTCGTTGGCAAGTAACACCACCACCACCACAACTACCTCAGCCAAAAACCACACCCACTGCGGTGGAGTCTATTGGGACTCACAGTGTCCCCAGAGGACAGAGTAGAACTGCCCTACGGGTTTCCAAGACTGTCATTCTTCACAGAAGCAAAGCGCATACCACACCCACTGCTGAGGAGTGGATTCTGACTCACCGTGCCCCTAAAAGACAGAGTGGAACTGCCCCACAGAGTTTCCAAGGCTGTCAATCTTCACAGAAGCTGACCACTTCATCTTTGTCTGTGCAGTAGTTAATGGGTTCAAACTGCTGACATTTGGTTAGCAACCCAATGCTTTAACCACAGCACCACTGGAGCTCCTTATATTTAGCCCCAGACTGCAGTTAGTTTTGAGGATCCTGGTGGTTCAGTGGTAGAATGCTCAGCTTCCATGCAGGAGGCCAGGGTTCAATTCCCAGCCAGTGCACCGCATGAACAGTGACCACTCATCTGTCAGCAGGGGCTTGAGTGTTGCCATGATGCTGAACAGCTTTCAGTGGAACTTTCAGACTAAGATGCACTAGGAAGAAAGTCCTGGTGATCTGCTTATGTTTGACCTCTAGTTCATAGCGTAGTACCTGGGGTCTTAAAAGCTTGCAAGCAGCCGTCTAAGGCATAGCAATTGGTCTCTGCTTGGAGCAACAGAGGAATAGGAGGAGGAGGATATGGAGAGTGTGGCTACTTGCCTCCATGAACAGTTGCCTCCTTTGCCAGGAGACCTGAGGAACTGGTTGGTGCCCAGTGACCATTATTGAACATTTTGATATAAGATTCCATACAAGAAGCCTGATCAAATGGGGGAAACTCAAACAAACTCTCAAATTCTCATGGACTCTATCTAGACTTTCTGGAGCCATAGGGGGTAGAAGAACCCCTGAAACTATTGTCCGATAATCTTTAAACCTAAATCAAATATATCCCCAGAAGTCTTCTTAAAACCAAACAGTAGTTTAGCTTAACTACTGTGTTAGACTGGGTTCTCTAGAGAAGCAGAACCAGTAAAGCTTATATATTAGAGAGAGAGAGAGAGAGAGAGCGAGCGAGCGAGCGAGCAGGAGAGAGATTTATCTTAGGAAAATGGCTCACACACTCATAGAAGCTGGCAAGTCCCAACTTCTTGGATCAAACATCAAGCTGGAGGCTTTTCTCAACTCATGCAGCTGCGGGGGCTGATGACCTCAAGGTTGGCAGGCAGCACACTGGCTGTTGACACCAGTGAATGACGAATCCAAGATCTCCAGGCCAAATGGTGGATTGTTCGCTCCCAGAACAATCCACTAAGTTGTAGGCAGCACAACAGAATCCCAATCCACAGAAGAGTGTCTCTACTCCTCGGATGTCCATAAATATATTGGAAGCAGGGCACACCCCTAGGGAAACTCCCTTTCAGTGGATTGGCTGCTCAGAATATATACATCTGATCCCATATGGGAATAATCCACATCACCATTGCTTAAACCACACAGAATTGTGGTCCAGCCAAGTTGACACACAGCTTCAACTATCACATTCTACCCTTTGTCAACCTGGCAATTGTACACATCTTCTTAACCATATATAATCTCTAAGTAATGACATTTATAAATTCATATTTGCACCTAACATGATAAGCTAATATGTGTACAACCAAAACATATTAACCTTATTTACATTTCACAGTTCATAACAGAAGGAAACAAAAGTATCTGATGCACATATACATTGAAGAAATATAACAATCATAATCCTTGTTTCTGCAACTGGTCATGTGGTCATAGCTGATATTCACAACTACCTTCTTCCATCACCTATTCTGTATTTCCTTTGCCCTCAGCAAGCACCTCTGCATGTTGTGGTTCTTTGCCTGGTGGGGTGACCCAAACCTTCATTCCTGAAGGGTTTGGGCCATTAGTAGTCATATCAGAATTGGGTTGCTGTAATTTTCCATTGACTTTAATCACAGGGCATGGTAGTACTAAGAGATGTCCTAAAGAATCTCCTGTATTCCAGGCATATTCTTTTTTACCTCCATTATGTAATGTCAATCCAGTTTCCCCTTGGTAATCAGGATCTATCACACCAGATACTACAGTAATGTCCTTCTTTGTCTGTTGATCCAGAGGCACGAGAAAGCCAAAATGGCTGGGTGGCATTCTTAACTTGCAGTTCAATGCAATAGTATTGTGTCTCCAGGTGGGAGTGTTCCTCCCTTTGGGACTAAGATCTCCAGACCTGCAGAGCATAGGATAGCAGGGACAGGAAGCAAAAAGTTTTTGAGTGGGTCACTAGGGGTAATAGTGAGTGGTACCACTCCCGTTTCCACCCCTTGGTTCCTGGACCCGTGAATCCTGGCTATTGGAAAAACAGCACTGTATATTGGACGCTGGTTTAGAGGATATACAGCCTCCTGGAGAACATTGCCCGAGCCCTTCAAGGTATTGCCACCTAGCTGGCACCGTAATTGTGTTTTCAGTAGGCCATTCCATTGTTCTATCAAGCCAGCTGCTTCTGGATGATGGGGAACATGGTAAGACCAGTGAATTCCATGAGCATAGGCCCATTGCTGCACTTCATTTGCCGTGAAGTGAGTTCCTTGATCTGAAGCAATGCTGTGTGGGATACCATGATGGTGGATAAGGCATTCTATACATCCACAGATGGTAGTTTTGGCAGAAGCATTGCATGCAGGGAAGGCAAATCCATATCCAGAATAAGTATCTATTCTAGTAAAAACAAAACACTGTCTGTGATGGAAGTGGTCCAATGTAGTCAACCTGCCACCAGGTTTCTGGCTGATCACCCCAAGGAATGGTTCCATATCGTTGACTCAGTGTTGTTCTCTGCTGCTGGCAGATTGGCCATTCACCAGTGGCAATAGCCAAATTAGTCTGGTAAGGGGAAGTCCATGTTGCTGAGCCCATGCATAACCTCCATCCCTGCCACCATGGCCACTTTGTTCATGAGCCCATTGAGCAATGACAGGAGTAGCTGAGGAAAAAGGATGGCTGATTTCTACTGAATGTGTCATCCTATCCACCTGATTGTTAAAGTCTTCCTCTGCTGAGGTCATCTTTTGGTGGGCCTTAACATGAGACACAAGCCATTAGCCAGAGCCCATGAATCCATATACAATCATAAATTTGGCCATTCTTGTTCCATGGAAAGTGAACGGCCATATGCATGGCTCGAAGTTCTGCCCATTGGGAGGATTTCCCTTCACCACTGTCCCTCAAGGAAGTTCCAGAAAGGGGCTGCAGTGCCGATGCTGTCCAATTTCAAGTGGTGCCTGCATATCATGCAGAACTATCTGTAAATCAGGCACGAGTTTTCTCTTCCTCAGTCAACTGATCATTAGGAACTCCCCATGAGGCCATAGGTGCAGACTGGGAGAGGGAAGGTAATGTGACTGGAGTAGAGACCATAGGCATTTGGGCCACTTCCTCATGCAACTTATTTGTGCCTTCAGGTCCTGTTCAAGCCCCATCTCTGATATACCACTTCCATTTAATGATGGAGTGCTGCTGTGCAC